ATGAGTCCCAACACAGCTTGTTTCGAGAATTTTTGAATTTTCTGGAAAATTTCAGTGTTGGCGCCAAAATCGAAAATTTTCAAAATTCTCAAAATCTGGTCATGTTTATACTCATTTTGAAGCTCTTGACTTGCCAAATCCAACAGTTAAAAATTTTTTGAGACTGCTCAAAAAGTGACTGTGATACGATAGTTTTAGTAGTCTGTCCGACATGGTGCATCGACCACGTCAATAGCGGATTAAATGCTCATGACTCGGTCTAGAAATTCGGAATTTGGTTTTGTAATTGAAACTTAGCATACTTAGCAGCTTAAACCCTTCAAAATGAGACCAAACACGACCTATTTGAGAAATTTTGAACTTTCCAAAAAATTTCAATTTTGGCGCCAAAATTGCATTTTTGAAAAAATATCCAAATCTAGTCATGTTTATACTCATTTTGAAGCTCTTAATTCGCCAAATTCAAATCCGTTTGAATTTTAGAAATTGTGCAAAAATTATCCGAAATACGGTAGTGTTAGTGATCTAGCCGACATGGTGCATCGACTAGAAGTTTAAAAGAACATAAGGGAGCCTAGATTTGGAATTCGGTTATGTAGCTAACAATTTCAAATTCAGCATTTCAAGAGCTTCAAAATGAGCCCAAACACGATATTTTTTTGAAGAATTTTGAATTTTAAAAATTTTTTGTGTTTTGGCGCGAAAAGTTTGAAAATTTTTCAAATTTTAGTCATTTATATAATCATTTCAAAATCGTCCTTGATTGGACAAATTCATTGATAGTAATTTCAATCAGTTTGGACCAAAACTAGCAGAGTTATGATCAATTCCACCCCTATGCGCCTTTAAACTCGAATTTCAAAGTTTTTCAAATATAGTCATGTTTATACTCATTTTGAAGCTCTTAACTTGCTGAATCAGAATTCTCAAGTTTCATGACCTAATTTTGAGTTTCTAGGCCATCATTGACAATTTTTCAAAAATTTTCGAAAAAAAATTTGTACGAAAATTTTTGAAATTTCGCTCATTTAAAATGTATTGAAAAAAAAGCAACAAGCTCAAAATTTTAATAAAATTTGAAAATATTATTAATGAATTTCTGAACCAGCCTACGAAACACATTGTTTCCCATCACTCACAGCCTGCTTTATGACCCCCCCCCCCCCCCACATATTCCAATGGTCCCTCTCTTTTTCTCTGCGTCTCTCATTTTTCTATACTCTCTCACTCTCTCGGGGATGAGAGAAAATTGAGGGTCGCGACCCATAGACACAAGAGAGAGAGAGACAGCCTATTTCCGTCCCTTTTACATTTTTCCCCAGTTTCTTTCGTCTGCGTCTCTCACTCTCTCTCTCGGGGGTCTTTTTAGTTTCAAATTGGCCCCGGCGCCCCTTTAAATAGCCTATTTTTTTTACTATTTTCAAGTATTTTTTTTATTGTTTAATTTGGATCAAAATTATTTTTAACAATGAAATTCGAAGGAAAAAAAAGGTTTTTTTTTTCGAAAAAAAAATTGTTTCGCCAATTTTTGAAATTTCAAGTTTTTAACAAAACTTGATATTTACATATTTTATATTAATTTGAAGCCCATAAAATTTCCTACAATTTGGTATAAATTTCATTTTTCTAGCTAAATTGTGGAAAAAGTTATGCGCCTTTAAACTTCCAGTGGTTGGGTCGATGCACCATATCGCACCACACTTTAAAGGCGCATAACTATTGTCAAATTCAACCTAGGAATATGATATTTATTTGAAATTGTGGGAAATTTGAAAAGCTTTACAAGTGTTATAAATTTGTCTAGGATTGAATACGAAAATTTTGATGAAAATTCAAAGAGGCAAAAAATGGTTGGAATTTGAAAATTTGAACTTTTTTAATTTTTAGGTTTTTTTTTTCGATTTTCCTACTGTAGATTTTCCTACTACCTTGAACTTTAAACTTTTCAAAACCCTAAACTCCGCCCCTTTTTGAGCTCCGCCCACTTTTTTAAATCCAATTTCCGGAAATTCCCGGTTCAAATTTTTCAAAAAAAAAAAAATTTTTCTCAATTTTTCTTCCAATCAACAAAAAATGAGCAAAAAATCACATGGTGTTTACCTGGCTCTCTCACTGAAAAACTATTATCCACCCCCCAATTTTTTTCTTCCACTGAACATTTTTTGTTCCCTAGCTGAGCAATATGTTTATACACTGGTTTTTGGTGTTGTTTATTTATGCAAATTTTTTATTTATTTTTAGGTTTGGAGACCGAAAATGAGAGAGTTTTGAATTTTAACTATTATTTTTGAATTTCGAACGTTGAGAGCTTCAAAACGAACCTAAACACGACCTATTTTGAAGAATTTTGAAATTTTCTGAATTTTCCAGTTTTGGCGCCAAAATTCGGAAATTTGAATTTTCGAAAAATTCAGTCATGTTTATACTCGTTTTGAAGCACTTGACTTGCCAAACTTAAAACTTTTTGAACTTTTGAGATTGCTCGAAAATTAACCGAGATACGGTAGTTTTAGTTATCAGTATGGGCGACATGGTGCATCGACTAGAAGTTTAAAGGCGCATAGGCCTAGAAATTTGAAACTAGGTCTTGAAATTGTCATTTTTAAATTCAGAGGGACTCAAGAACTTCAAAATGACTCCAAACACGACCTATTTTGAGATATTTTGAAAAATTTTGAATTTTCGCCCTTTTGGCGCCAAAATTCAAAAATTGAAAATGTTTCAAATATAGTCATGTTTATATTCATTTTGAAGCTCTTAATTAGACAAACTTATTGATACAGTTTTCAATTGATTTGGACCAACGTCAGCCGAGTTATGACCATCAAACTTAATTTTCGAATTTTTTCGAACCTAGTCATGTTTATACTCATTTTGAAGCTAATGGTTTGTTAAAATTAAAACTTTTTGAATTTTGAGATTGACCGAGATACGGTAGTTTTAGTGAGCTTTTCGTGGACATGGTGCATCGACTACGTCCATTGAGGTTTAAAGGCGCACAACAAACCCTCGGTGACCGAAATAACGTTTTTTGGACTTAGCATGTTGAGAGCTTTAAAATGAGCTTAAACACGACATATTTTGAGAGATTTTGAAACGTTTTGAAATTTCGACCATTTTGGCGCCAAAGTTCGGAAATTTGAAAATTTTCAAAACCTAGTCATGTCTATACTCATTTTAAAGCTCTTAACCAGACAGACTTATTGGTAGCGTTTTCAGTCACTGTGAACTTAAACTAGCCGAGTTATGACCATTTTAACCATCTATGCGCCTTTGAACTCAAAATTTAAAGTTTTTCAAATATGGTCGTGTTTATACTCATTTTGAAGCTCTTAACTTGCTAAACCCAAAAAAGTAGGTTTGATGGCCTAGTTTTGAATTTCTAGGTCACCAGACCTGAAAAACCTAGGTCACCTTTCAAAAATGACTGGTAAAGCTCATAACTCTGCTCAAAATTGGAATTTTTGAGATCTGTAAAATGATTTAAAAAAAAGGGAATGTGAAAAATTAAAAATCAGAATTTCCAGGAAAAAAAAAATAGAAAAAGTCGGAAGTAGTTTTCCACACTCCTGCATTAATCAACCCTTCCTCTTTTTTCTCCTTATCCCTTTTCTCTTTTCTTTTTGCTTATGCCGTTCTCAAGAGCCTTTTTCTATTTTTCTCACTTTTAGAGGATGATTTTCAGCATTTTCAGATTTTTTTTATTTGCCTGGAATGTCTGAAAATTCATCTTTAAAATTTGGAAAAATTTTTTTTAGGAAATTATTTTTTTCAAAAATTTTTTTTTGAGATTTTCAGACTTCTAAACTCTATTCTTTCCACTTTTTTCTTTTTTTTATCTTCTACCGTATTCTACCGTATCCTTCAAAACTATTTTTCTCAAATTTTAGGGTCCCACCACCCTCCCCCCTCTCTCATGGTGAAAACAGTGGAGTTTTGCGAAATAGTGCCCAGAAATTTTCAGTATTCAATAGAGGTAATTACAGTAATCCAGCTGAATAATGCTAAAAATAGGGATTTCTAGCTTAAAAATGAGCAAGATGCGCCCCCTCAAGTTTTGAGTGACATGGTGCATCGACCAGACGTGTGGAAGTTTAAAGGCGCATAACTTTTTTTCGAATAAAGCTACAAACATGAATGTTGTATCATTATGTAGGAAATTTTAAGAGCTTTCAGGTGATATATAATTTGTTTAGAGAAAACTATGGAAAATGTTTAAAAAACGGTATGAAAGAGATTGAGTTGACATAGAGCAGCTAGCTAGCTAAAGTTCAAAGGCACATAACTTCTTTTCAAATTTCGACTAGAATTCTGATATTTATATCGATTTGTAGAAAATTTTAAAGCCTTCAAATCGCTATAAAATTCACTATGAAAAATTCGATTAGAAATTTTTTTGCCCTCGAAAAATTTCAAAATTTGAAAAATTTCTGAAATTTCACTTTTGATATTTAATACGATTTAAAAGCTTATAAAATTTCCTACAAGTTGATATAAATTGCATATCTCTAGCTAAATTTTGAGAAAAGTTGTGCGCCTTTAAACTTCCAGATCGATGAACCATGTCGCACCACACTTTAAAGGCGCATAACTTCGCTTAATATTAAGTTAGAAAAATGAACTTTGTACGATTTTGCAGGAAATTTGAAGTTCTTTTGAATGATTTATAATACATTACAGGATAAATTGTCTAAAATTGAAGAAATATGCTCAGAATATACATAAACAATTAAAAATTAAAAATGTTTTTTTTTTTCAATCTAAAAATCCTTTAATTTGCAGACAGACGACTCGTTGTGCGGTGACGAGACAACTAACACCAGTCACAATCAGAGTGTCACCAGCATGGGATCCGGGTCAAAACGAGGGGCCGCAGCTTCGAATGGAATTTCGACAGTAATCAGTGCTCGCGGAGCCCCGTCGCCGAATAACACGACGGAGAGAGAACGTCGAAATGGCTCAAAGCGATATTTCTGTTCTTTTTCCTTCTAATTTCTGGAATGTCGAATTGGGCAGTGATTGCGTACACCCATGATTATGTGCCAAGAACGCCACTGCCGGATATCGTGTTTAGTTTGGTTGGAGAGCAGCGGTGGGCGTCTTCGCTGGGTGAGTGTTTATTTTGAATTTGAAAAAAAAGGGGGAATTTTCCTTCAAAATCAGCTGAAAATCATGAAAAATAGATGAACATGATGAAATTTTAAATTCAATCTACCGTATCTCCTTTGAGCCCAAATTTTTAAATTTTTTGATTTTTGTGTTTGACATGTTAAGAGCTTCAAAATGAGTATAATCATGAATATGTTCCTTCAAGTTTGAATTTTCGACTTTAAAGGCGCATAGGGGGTCAAAATTTGAGACTTCTCAAAAGTAGGTCATGTTTATACTCATTTTAACGCCCTTAACCCACAAAATTCAAAAATTAGAGAGTTTTGAAGTTTGGACCAGAGTGGCCCATACCTTATGGGATTTTGAAATTGCTTTCAATCTGAACATATTATTTTTGGAGCTTTTTGAATTTAATTTTTCTCAAAAGCCTGTATAATTCTCTACATTTTAAGCCTAAAATCTGAAATTTTGAAATGAAAATGAAAAAAGTTATAAGGTTTTGAAAATTCAATTTTTTTTTTGAAAAAAAATCCCATATTTTGGAAAATTTGAATTTTTATCAGAACTTTCAATTTAAGACCAAAATGAATTTATACTGCTCTTGTAGCTCTCTAAATTTCCTACAATTTAATACAAAGTTTATCTTTTTAGGTAAATTTTGAAATAAGTTATGCACCTTTAAAGTTTGCGATATAGTGCGTCGCTCCGCCTCGAGGAAGTTTAAAGGTGCATAACTTTTTTCACAATTTAGCTAGAAAAATGAAAATTGTATCATTTTGTAGGAAATTTTATGAGCTTAAAAATGATATAAAACATGTAATCACCAGCATTTGTGTAAAGTTTGAAAATCACAAAAATGTACTAAACTTTTTTTTTTGAAAAAAAAAATTTCTCGAAAATTTCAAACTTTCATTCTGAACCAATTTCAATGAACGTTGCATTTGATTGTAGACAATTTCATGCGCTTTAAGATTATATACAACACACATGATAAAAATCTTGAAAAATTTGAATAAAATTGATTCTTCCGGAATTTCCAAAAACAAAATCTGAAATTTGGTTTTACCCCTCTAACTCGCTTGGTTGTCAACCGATTTTTGTAAATTTAATATCATTCTATAGCAAATTTTCTAAATTTGCTGAAAATTGAAATTATCATTCATTTCAGGTGACGCATGCGTAGCCCTATGCATAATTCTCCTCGGCGGCCTCCTCCTCATCCATCAACACCGAGGAACCGTTCTGAAACGCGTCGTATTCTGTGCGGCGACACTTTATGCGATGAGATCGATCACTTTGGCAGCTACACAATTACCATCTGGCTACACGGATAATAAGGGAAGATGTCGAGATCAAGTCGCGTCGAAACCATCAGTTTTCTTTGGAAGACTTTTCGAGCAGACGATTCGAATTGGGTTCCAGGTGAGAGCTTTGGTTTTTGTGTGGTTTGAAGTTTGGTTTATATGATAATGTATCTCTTCAAATTTCCTACAAAAATATGTAAAATTTGGTTATTCTGGTCTATTTTGGCTAAAGTTATGGTTGTTTAAAGCTCTTTCGGTCAAAATTTTTTATTCCGTTTTCATTAATCCTTAATTTTCAAATTTCAAACTCAACGAAATTTGTTGAATTTATATATTGCTGGAAAGCTCATTAAATTCCCTACAACTTCATATTTTTTTCAGTTTTCGATTTTGATTTTGAAAAAAGTTATGCGCCTTTGAACATCCGACATGGTGCATCGACTCCACCCCGGATGTTTGAAGGCGCATAACTTCCCTCAAAATCAACGGATTTCTCTAAATTTTATTTTATTTTGTAGACAATTCAAAGAACTTAAAACTAACAACTAATCAATAAAAACAAATTCAGAGCAAAGACCAAATGCTGTGCGGAGATCTTCTCTTCTCCGGACACACCCTCGTCATGGTGACATGCTCGTTGGCGGTGGCCTATTATCTTCCAAAATCCATAAAACCGCTTCAATGGATTGCTCATGTTTCATGTTTTGTCGGAATGATTTGTATGATCATTTCGAGAACGCATTATACGATTGATGTGATTATTGCGTACTGGCTGAGCAATATGGTCTTCAGGTAGGAATTTGGATTTTTAAATCCTTTATAACTTTTTTGGTTTTCAACCAATTTTTATGAATTTTATGAGAAAATGTAGGAAATTTTATAGGCTTTCGAATGATATAAAATAACTTGGGACGGATAGTGAAATTGAAATTTTCGATAAAAATTTGTTTTTGTAAAATGCCAAAAAAATATGGAATTTTCAAAACCTCATAACTTGCTTCATTTTTGATGGATTGTTATGAATTTTAAACAATAATGTAGAACATTTTATGAGCTTTTAAATGATATAAAATATGATAAGAAAAATTAAGTTTAAACTTGTTTGGAAAAATTCAATCTACCATGCCTTCAGGTAGAGGCGTTTTTTCAAGAATTTCAAAATTTTCAACAAAGTCGGTGATACTGTATTTTATATAATTTTGTAGCCCATAGAATTACCTACAATTCTATACAAAATTCATAAAAATCGGTTCAGAATGACAGCTTCAAATTTTTTGAGAATACACTTTTTTTCGAAAAAAAAATTTTTTCCAAAAATTTTCAAATTTCAAGATTTTCACCAAAACTGCTGTTAGCATATTATATATTTTTTTAAAGCCCATCAAATTTTCTACAAAATGATACAATTTTCATTTTTCTATCACTATTTTGAAAAAAGTTATGCGCCTTTAAGTTTTGAGTTTTCTGCCGATGCACCATATTGCACCGAATTTTAAAGGCGCTGAACTATTTTCAACATTTACCTAGAAAAATGAAATTTATAGTAAATTATAGGAAATTTAAAGAGCCAATAGGGTATTATAAATTTGTTTGGGTCTGATATTCAAAATTGTTATAAAAATCCATTTTTTCTAAAATACCAAAAATTTTGATTTTTTTCAAAAAAAAAGAATTTTCAAAATTTCATAACTTGCTGCATTTTTATTCAAATTCCAAGATTTTGTGCTTAAAATAAAGGAAATTTTATGAGCTTCTGAATGATATAAAACACAATTTTCAACAATCTGCGCTTCAAGTCGCTTCATGCAGTTTAAAGACCCATAACCATATTTGTTCAGAATCTACCATGCCTACTGTGAACTGGACATGTGTATGGAACGACACAAAAGCATACTGTACTCATGGTGGCCGTGTCGTATTATCGATTGGCTGGAACAGGACATTGTCCCCGGCCGTCTCGACAATCGATGCAGTTTCCCGTGGCGACGACTGACACGTGGCATCAATCGAGAAAGGGGCGGAGCCAATGGTGAAGCCGTTTCGAGTGACTCGTCGTCGACGACTTGTGACACGAATGCTACTACACATCATCATCAGAAACATGTTTCTATTGTGAGTTTTTTTTTAATTTCAGCTTGAAATCGAAAAATGTTTTTTACAAAAATTTTATTTTTTTTTCAATTTATTTGAATTCAAATCAGTGGTCATGCAAATTGTATATCATTTTAAAGCTAATAAAATATACTACAAATTGATGTGATTTTCATTTTCATAGCCCAATTTTGAACCAAGTTATGCGCCTTTAAACTTTCAGAAGTTGGGTCGATGCACCATGTCGGAATGTTTAAAGGCGCATAACTTTTTTTATTTGTCACCCACAGTAACTATTCTTATACCATTTTGTAGCAAATTTTATGGGCTTCAATGTGACAATAAAGGATTCAGCTGAAAATTTTAAATTTAAGCTCAAAATCGTGTTTCAAAACGTTATACACAACCCAATTTCTTTCCAGAGCTCCTCATCGACCTACCCACTTCCATGCTGATATTCATCTTCTGGCCGCTCTACAGTAATCTCTGGATATCATAAATTTTTCTTTTCCTCATTCTCTCACTCTGCGTCTCTCTCATTTCTCTGATCTCTCGCTCTTTCGTCCCCTTTTCTCCTAAATTCTACTCATTTTATCGATTTTTAGTGAAATTTCTTTTAGCTCAGCTCACTCTTCCGGTTCCACTCACACCGTGTGATTTCATTCTCTCTCTTTCTCAAGCTCCGCCCCTTTTTTATTTAGGCTCCGCCCACCTTTTGGGCATCATTTAGTACTGGTTTTTCACACCACTCATATTTTTTCTTGGAACTTTTTCTTGGGCTCGATACGGGTTTTCAACCTCGTTTCCTTTTTTCCTTCTCTTTTACGAGAAATTTGAACAAAAATGAACATTTTTACGTCGTATTTGCGGACATCCGGATTTTCGGACACACAGGTTGACAGCCGGAAAATAGAAGACGGTGGTCGGCCGGCGCCCACCACTCCCTCAGAAACGCGCGCTCTTGTGTACGCCCTCTCCATCCATTTCGTTTGTGGCCGCCATAGCTCAGTCGGTTAGAGCGTGGGTCTAATAAGCCCAAGGTCGCAGGTTCGACCCCTGCTGGCGGCAAACTCATTTTTCTTTTTTTTTCTATTTAGATTATGAGTTCTAAAAGGTGTTTTATGAGGAAATTTTGGAAAATTCAAAATTTTACAACTATCTACATAAATTTCACAAGAGTTAGACTACTGAGAGCCGAGTTACAGGCCAAAAAAAGATATTAAAGAAAGAGAGGTGAGACATGTTTGGAAGGCTCCAGAAGGCGTCAAAATTAGAATTTTTGGAAAATTTCAAAGATTAAAATGATCTACATACCATTTCCAATCAACTGGTACAAATTTCACATAGTTAGGAAACTGTGAGCCAAGTTAAAGATCGAAAAAAAGCAAAACTAAGAAAAGAGGAGTGGCCACTGTTTGGAAACCTCCAGAAGACGTCGAAATTAGAATTTTTGGAAAATTCAGAATGTTAAAATTATCTACATAAAATTTCCTATCGATTGATATAGTTTCCATGAGAGCAGGACTACTGCAAGCTGAGTTATGTGCTTTTTTTTATTGGGCACACGCTCTCTCGATCTCATCTCGCTCCAGAATGCTTTAAAATTAGAATTTTTGGAAAATTGAAACTGCTGAAACTATCTATATAAAATTTCCAATCGATTGATATAATTTTGACCAAAACTGAACAATTGCGAGCCGAGGAAAACTGCAATATTTGTCGAGTACGACAGAGCGCGTTTTCTTCCGACGTCTTTTCAGCGATTAAAAATCAATAATCAGTTTATTTTTAGGCATCCATTTTCTCATAAATACAAATTAATTCCCTTTTAAGATTACAATTCGACAAAATTTCAATATCAGGGCGTTTTTTCAAATTATCGATTAGAATTTTTCGCGCCAGAGCCATTCGTCGTCCATCGATTGATCGATCGTTTTGAATCAGTTCGGAGACACATCGCCGTGTGGAGACGTCGATTTGCTCTAGAGAAGATTCAGAAGGCGTCAAATTCTGAAAAAAAAGCAATTTTGAAAAATAAATTTTTTTGATTTTTTAAAAACTTTTTTCGGAAATTTGTCAGATTTGTTTGCCAATTCTGAATTCTCTTCTGACGGTGTCTCGTTTCCAATCCCCAGCCTTCTCAAAATCTCCCAAAAATCGATATTTTTCGCTTCCTCTTGCCCCAAAATTATCGATTTTTCTTCAGAATTTTCTGGAACTTCCAGCGCTTCGAAAATCCGCAAAATCGTTGTTTCCCCTTGCCTTTCATCAGAACGTCTTCTAGAATCCCTTCGAATCGCTTCAGAAGACGTGCACTCCAAAAAGACAACGCCAAATTCCAATAATCGATTTTTTGCGATTTTTCGAAACTTCCGACGCATACTTTTCAGGTGAAAAATGTCTTCGATGAGGTAGAACTTTTGGCGGGAAATCGCGCAAATTTGAAATTCGCGCTCAAACGATTTTCGAATCTCCCGCGCGCTCAAATCCACAGCGGAGCGCATTTGCCGTCGGAAATCGTCAAACGAGGTGGATTCGATGAGGTCAGGATGGGCGGAGCATAGACGACGACGGAGGCTCGATTTTCCGGCGCCTGGGATTCCCATCAGCAAGATTAGGGACATCTGGACACACAGATCGATGGAGAATCGATCAGCCTGCAAACAACTATTTTAGTGCTAAAAATGACTATTTCAAGATTTAAAAATGTCTAAAAATCGATATTTGAAGCCTGCATAAGGCTATTTTAATACGAAAATGAGTCTTAAATGACTATTTCAACCCTAAAAATCGCAATTTTATGTCAAAAAATCGATATTTGAAGCGTGAATATGGCTATTTTAGCTCTAAAAATAGTCATTTTAAGCATGAAAACTGTATTTTTGAGCCTGAAAATGGCTAACTTAGGCTTAAGAATCGTCATTTTCAGGCTAATAATTGCGATTTTCAGAATAAATATGGCAATTTTAAGTCTGAAAATGACTATTTTAAGTCTGAAAATGACTATTTTAAGCCTGAAAATGACTATTTTAAGCCTGAAAATGACTATTTTCAGCCTAAAACTGGCTATTTTAAGCCTGAAAATGACTATTTTTAGCCTAAATATGGCAATTTTAAGTCTGAAAATGACTATTTTTAGCCTAAAACTGGCTATTTTAAGCCAGAAAATGACTATTTTTAGCCTAAATATGGCAATTTTAAGTCTGAAAATGACTATTTTTAGCCTAAAACTGGCTATTTTAAGCCTGAAAATGACTATTTTTAGCCTAAATATGGCAATTTTAAGTCTGAAAATGACTATTTTTAGCCTAAAAATGGCTATTTTAAGCCTGAAAATGACTATTTTAAGCCTGAAAATCGCTATTTTAAGCTTGAAAAAGGCGTTTTTTGACTCAAAAATTACAGTTTCAGGCTTAAAATTCACGAAAAAAAGCCCGCAAAAAGTACTGTGGACAAAATTTTAGGCCCTTTTTAACATTTTTCTGAGAAAAAAAGAGTAAAATTTCAAATAATTTATTTTATATGCACATTCAAAATCGATATGGGGGAGGGGGGTCTCGGAACGAAAACTACAGTAACCCTTGATAAAAATTCGAATAACATTTTCGAGGTTACTGTAGTAGTGAGAGAAATTGCTATTTTAGGCCTAATAATGGCGTTTTAGGTCTAAAAAAAATGCAATTTTCAACTAAAAATCACAATAAATCAATAAATCAATAAAATCAGAATTTGTCCTGAATTTTGTGCCAATTTTCAGCCAAAATCTGAAAATCCAGGAATGCGTGGTCGCTTGTCGTATGGATTCCCAGCTCGCCGAGCATTTTCAGCACCTGCTCCTCGTCGATCGATCGGAACGCCGTACGGACCAGCTCACCGGATGTGTCACAATTCGCGGCGACCTGCAAAATTTAGAAAAATCTATATTTTCAAAAAATTTAGATCTACAGTATACCTTCATCAACGCATCCAGCCGACACATCTCAGATCTTGCCGGATTGCCACGTGTCCAGTGTCCCTCTTTCTCCAAATTATCCAATTCGGGCACCAGATTCGAATAGATTTGATTGTAGAAGTGTCCCAATACGGTCATACTGTAAAAATTGCAAATTTTTGACAAAAATGCTTTTGACTGAAACTTGACAATTTTTCTGAAATTGCTCATAACTCATTTATTTCCTTAAATTTTTCTATAAAATGCATATATTCTTATTCCGCTTGTTGAGAGCTTTGAAATGAGCCTAAACACGACTAGGTTTGGTTGACTTTTTAGTTTTGACCTTCGCGTTGCGGTCGCGTCGCGGTTCGATAGATCAAAATTCAAAGTTGAGCGAATCTAGTCGTGTTTGGGCTCATTTTGAAGCACTCGACTAGCTGAGTAACTAGATTTGGTTGACGTTGAAATTTGACCCATGCGTTGCGATCGCGTCGCGGTTCGGTAGGTCAAAATTCAAAGTTAAGCAAATCTAGCCGTGTTTGAGCTCGTTTTAAAGCTCTTGATTAGCCAAAAAAGAGTATTTAAGTTAGAAACTGAAATGTTGGAAAATAAGCGAGTTATGAGCAATTTCGGGCCAGAATCCCACATTTTAGGCTTAAAAATGACAGTTTTCACTCAAATTTTCAGCACTTCCTCACCTACAAACACTCTTCCACTTCTCAAATCTCATCTGAAGATTTTTGAACAACTCCTCCACCAACAAGTTCATCAAAACACTTCGAGATGGGCGGCTCGCTTTGATTGTGACATTATTCAGGCATTTTAGGATGTGATAAAATGTTGAATTCATCGTTTTTATCTTCTCATCACCGTAGTTCGAACAAATCGATATTTCCAATCGATCCAATAAATCCTCATTCAAGTAATCGATAATCATTCCGCACAGCCGGTCCCATTCGTTTTCATAAGCACGCTCTAGCTCGAAAGAGCTAATTGGCCAAGTTAGCGTTTGAGTCTGAAAAGTGACTTCGAATAGGCTTTAAAATTGTCAAAAAGGGGGACAAAAATTGCCGAATTACGGCTGAAATTGAATTTTTGGCTTAAAACTTTCTGAAAATCAGCTAGATTAGTATGTTTTCATGTTCAGCTCGCCACGAGCTTCAAAATGAGCCCAAACACGACTAGATTTGCTCAACTTTGAATTTTGATCTACTAAACCGCGACGCGACCGCAACGCGTTGGTCAAAACTCAAAGTCAACTAAAACTAGTCGTGTTTGGGCTCATTTCGAAGCTCTTAACAAGTAGAGCACGAATAGTTAAGTTTTATAGCAAATATTCAAAACAATTAGGAACATCTGAGCAATTTGAGATTTTCGGTTTTCTGAAAATTGCTCATAACCGACTTATTTTTCAAAATTTCGGAATCAAACTCATATATTCTCTATTGGCTTGTCGAGAGCTTCAAAATGAGCCCAAACACGACTAGTCTAGCTCAACTTTGAATTTTGGTCTGCGAAACCGCGACGCGACCGCAACGCGTAGGTCAAAACTCAAAGTTGAGCTAGNCTAGTCATGTNNGGGCTCATTTTGAAGCTCTCGGTGAGCTGAGAAAGACTGTATCAATTTCATTGGAAATTTTCGGAAAAGAAACAAGTTATGAGCAATTTCCAAAAAAAGAAAAATTTCAGCCAAAACTCAAAATGGCTCGAAATTCCTTATTTTGTCGCATTTTGGCTCAAAAGTCGTATTAGTGCTCTTTAATGCTCACTTTCACGATTCGTTTCAATTCCCAAATCGAATTCATGACCAAATAGACATCATTGGACCACGTGGCTTCTGATTCGAGTCGTTTCGAAATCGAATGAATTCTGAAGCACAGATCGCTGAGCAATGCATGAATACACTCGTAAAATGTCATTTGAATCTCTAAATTTCCAAAATTTTGAATATTCGAATCCAGACGAGTGATCCATTGCTCAACGAATACCGTAATCTCGGCGGCCCACTGCGAATTTTTGGGGTTTCCAATTGATATCGATTCGAGGGGCAGGAAGCAATTGGATGAGCATGAGAGGAGACGATTCATGGCTACTGTATACAGTTCCACTTCGAACTGCAAAAAAATTGAGCATTTTGGGTGAAAATTGGTCGAAAATCGGGCTAAAATCCGCCAAAAATAAGCTAAACTGGCCTAGGCCCAGGTTTGTCTGAAAATGACCGAAAATTTGCTGGAAAATCTAAAATATTGCTAAAATCATGTTTAGCTCGACGAGAGCTTCAAAATTTTGAAGCTCTCTACTAGCTGAAAAAGAAGATTAGAGTTAAAATTGAAATTTCGAAAATTAAACGAGTTACGAGCAATTTCAGATTTTCAGCATTTTCAAGTTTCGCTTATTTTACGAAATTTCGAAATCAAACTTACATATCCTTTTTCAGCTAATCAATAGCTTCAAAATGAGCCCAAACACGACTAGTCTAGCGCAATTGTGAGTTTCGGCCTATGCGTTGCGGTCGCGTCGCGGTTCTGTAGATCAAAACTCAAAGTTAAGCAAATCTAGTCGTGTTTGGGCTCATTTTGAAGCTCTCTACTAGCTGAAAAAGAAAATTAGAGTTAAAACTGAAATTTCGAAAATTAAACGAGTTACGAGCAATTTCAGATTTTCAGCATTTTCAAAGAAACTCTTAAAATGCTCATAACTAATTTATTTATCAAAATTTTTAACTCAGACTCATAAATTCTTGCTCAGCTCGTCAAGAGCTTCAAAATGAGCCCAAACTCGACTAGACTCTGAGCAATTTTTGGATTACTGTAGTTTTCGTGCGGGGACCCAACTTTCCTCAACTTCAAGGGAATCTAGTCGTGTTTGGGCTCATTTTAAAGCATTTTCTGCGCTGATTTCTAAATTTAAGTCATAAAATCAGAATTTCAGAGATTTTTAGAGTTACGATTAGAAAAAAAATCGATTTTCAACGATTTTTAGGAATTTTTTCCTTGTTTTTCAGCTTACCAATATCCATTTGCTAATAAATTCTGGCTCATAAATCGGTTCAAAAATGTCGGAATTCGATAAATCGAATTCACAATTTTCCTCGAATCGCCGGAGTAGAATCGACATTTTTGAGAAGATTAATGGGTCTTTGATGTTCTGAAAATATTAATTACAGAGTAATTAAGGGGTAATTAAGACGATAAGTGGGCTGAAAATGATGAAAAATCGCTCAAAATAGCTTCAAAATGACTCAAAAACCACTGAAAATAACCTAAAAGAACCCAAAAGTACAGTAACTCTGTAAGTGGGCGGAGCCTAGTCGTAATTGGGCTCATTTTGAAGCTCTATGCAAGGCGAGAATGAATATTTAGGTTTTCTTTTTCACATTTTGAAAAAAAAGAGAGAAAATTGGAAAAATCGCAATTTTGAGTATTTTAGGTCATTTTCAGCCGATTTTCAGCCAATTTCCTTCATAATCTGCTTATTTATCAAAATGTCGAATTCAAACTTCTCAAACATTGCTCAGCTCATCAAGAGCTTCAAAATGAGCCTAAACACGACCTGTTTTGGTTGACTTTGAAATTTGACCAACACGTTGCGGCCGCGTCGCGGTTTCGTAGGACAAAATTCAAAATTGAGCAAATCTAGTCGTGTTTGGGCTCATTTTGAAGCTCTCACCAAGCTGAGAAAGAAAATGAAAGTTTGTTCTTAAGATTTAAAAAATTAGGGAGTTATGAGCAATTTCAGATTTTCAGAAAAATCTGAAAATTGCTAATAATTCACTCATTTTTCGGAACTTTCCAACAAAGCAGATATATTCTTACTTAGCAAGTTTAGAGCTTCAAAATGAGCCCAAACACGACTAGTTTTAGTTGACATTGAGTCTTGACCAACGCGTTGCGGTCGCGTCGCGGTTGGTAGGTCAAAATTCAGAATTGAGCTAGAATAGTCGTGTTTGGGCTCGTTTTAAAGCACTTAACAAATCGAATTAGAATATATAAGTTTCGTTCAAGAATTTCAGAAAATTAGCAAGTTAGGAGCAATTCAAGATTTTTCTGAAAAACTGAAAATTGCTCATAACTCGCTTATTTTTGAAAATTTTGAAAGCGAACTTTCCCATTATTGCTCAGCTCACCTAGAGCTTCAAAATGAGCTCGAACACGACCTGTTTTGGTTGACTTTGGAATTTGACCAACGCGATGCGGTCGCGTCGCGGTTTGATAGCTCAAAATTCAAAGTTGAGCGAATCTAGTCGTGTTTGGGCTCATTTTAAAGCTCTCGACTAGCTGAGTAAGAATATTTTAAGTTTTTTTCTTGAAATTTCGTAAAAAAGATGAAAATTCGAAAAAAAAAGAAAAAAAATTTTAGGAAATATATTTTTTGCGTTTTCCAGGTCAAAATTAAGGCAAGTTTGGACGATTTTTAGTCTATTTTTTAGAATTTTCAGCCATTACCATTTTCAAGAATCTCCTTGTCAAATTGCCAATAAATTCCACAAATTTCGCATCGAAAATCGCCGAAAACCCGGATTTTTGCTCGATTTTCAGCGTTCCCATCGTCTCCACACCCTTTTCCAGTACCAATTTCAAATTTCGCGCCCAGTTCTTGCCGCTTTCGAGAATCCACTCAAAGTCTGCGTCTCCGCCCCGCTCCTTATCAATCATATCAATGCACAAGTTCTCCAAATGCGATATCGAAATTTGAACGAGATTATCGATTGATTTCTGGTGATTCCCTGGGGAAATCAGGTCCAAATCTGTGGAAAATTCGAGAATTTCACGGATTTTTTCTAGAAATTTCTGGGAATTTTCGTTTTGTTCCAGTGTTTTCAGCGGGATTCCTTGATTTTGAAACAGGGACCAGAGATTTGAGATAAAGATTTTTTCACACGCATCGTGGAATGCTTCCAGACGGGTTTCGAGCATTTTCCGCACCTCCGAATCACCGGAAATCGTGGAAATTATCGATTTTACGGGGGTTTTTAGGTCTTGCCACGTGGATTTGGAGGTGATTACTGTAGAATCGACGGTGGCGATGACAGTAGCCTTCTTTTCGGATCTGAAAAAATGTTGAAATTTTGATTTTAAGAGACTTTTTCCAAATTTTTGAAAAAAAAATTTTTTGGAAATTGTTTTGTTTTTCTAGAATTTTCGGATTTTTGAAAAAAAAATTTGGGTTTTTCCGGATTTTTAGCTTAAAATTGGCTGAAAATTTGAAACTTCTATTTAGTAAAATTTTGAATTTTTCCAGAAAATTTTTTTTCAAAATTTTCGAATTTTTGAAATTTTTTTTTCGAATTTTTGGATTATTTGGCTATTATTTTGTAAAAAACTGCAAAAAAATTCGATTTTAAAGAATATATTTTCAAGATTTACAGCTTAAAAATTAGCAAAAATCGAAAATTTCGAAAAAATGTTTTTTTACAAAATTTCATGATTTTTAGCTTTAAAATGTTCAGAAATGCAATTTTGAGGCATATTTTCAAGATTTGAAACTTAGAATTTGGCGAAATTTCAATTTTTAAGATTTTTTTTTTGAATTTTTCAGATTTTTCAGCTCCAAATTGCTCAAAATGGATCGATTTTCGAAATTCAAAGTGTCAAAAAATGACTCACAGCGAATCTTTTAGAATTTTCTGAAATATCCCAATCACTTTTTGCATATCCAACCCATTTCCCTCGAATTCCCGCTTCACTGCCTCTATATGCTCTTTATACTGGATTTTCAGCGATTCTATGGCCGATCTCTGCGCCTTTAAATCCTCTTTCTTCGATTTTATCTCTTCTAAAGCCTTTTTTATGTGTTTCTCCTTGTCTTCTTTCAACAAATTCAGTTGAGACAGGTCCTGACGGAGATCTGATTCGGACTGCAAAAAATTCGAAATTTTCAGTTATTTTTTTTTGAATTTCGCGCCTTACCGCTTTCAAAATTTCCCACATTTCACTTCCCGTTGCATTTTCTAGCTGTTCCAGACGATTTTGGAGCGCTTGCATCGCTGAAAATCCAGGAAAGTCGATGAAAAAGCGTTAAAAAAAGAAGTACAGTAATCTCTAAAGGCGCATGACAAGAATTTTTGTTTGGTGTTTCACAACGAAAGTTATTTTAGTTGATTTTAGTGAGATTTTATTGATTTTGATGCTTTAAAAATTTTCAGGACGGTTTTCAGCAATTTTTCATAACAAGTTGACTGTTTTTGCATCAAAATTGGCTTAATAGTCGTTGAAAATAGCCAAAAACCCATTAAAAAATTTTTCTACAGTACCTTAAAGGCGCAAAACAAGAATTTTTGTTTGGTGCTTCGCAACGAAAAGCTTTTTTTTTGCGATTTTAGGGTGTTTTAGGCTATAAAATAGATTTTTCTGTTTGTAAATTGTAATTTCAGCAATTTTGAATGAGAACTTAACTGTTTTTGCACGAAAATTCACTTAAAAATCATGAAAAATAGCCGAAAATCCAGTACAAATATTTTCTACAGCAGTTTAAAGGCGCGTCACACAAAATTTTATTTCGCTTCGAAGCGAAAAAGGAATTTTAGCGATTTAACAAAATCCAGGCTTTTCAAAAAATCTAAAAACTCAAAATAAACAAAAAAAAACAAAAAACCAACAAAAATACACTTTTTTAACAGCACAATCCCTCCACACCACCGATGGCCGCGTTTTCAGGATTTTCTAGGCCACCGCGTCCCCTCCTCGTGATGCCTCGAAGTAAACACAATACGTCATTGGTGTAGTCTCTGTATTGACACACACACTTTTTCCCGAAAATTGGAGAAAAACCCCGCCGGCAAAAAAAACATATCTCGTCTTGAACGCTCCTTTTTTTATTGATTTTTTCCCTCTTTTTTTTGACCCAAATAAACGATTTTTGTCTCTTCTTTTTGTGCGTTTTTTGTGTCAATTTTCCAATAATTTTTTCCCCGATTTTTCTAAACTAAAAATTGCGAAATACCAGTCTAAATTCAATTTCAGCATGGTATTCAAAAAAGCGCCGTGCCTTTTTGGCTCGGCAATTTTGCTGGGACTGCTTCTAGCGGTGGCTGGAATTCTGTTGCTTATCGGAGTTCCAATTGATGGAATTGTGAATCGACAGGTCGTTGGGGTGAGTTTTTTAGAGAAAATTTAGGGACTATAAATCGAAGAAATAGCCCAAAAATCGACTTTTTTCGAGGGAAACTTGGCTTTTGGTTTCAAAAATGACAAAAATTGAATTAAGCTCATCGAAAGCTTCAAAATGAGCCCAAACACGACCAGATTCCGTTAATTTACAAGGTTACTGTACTTTTCGTGGTGGGACCCGTTTAGGCTCATTTTGAAGCTCTTAACAAGCTGAAAAAGCTGAAAATTGAATTTCTGAATCAAATTCGGCTTGGGAATGTAAAAAATCCTTCAAAAATATAAACATTAGATCTTTGGCCCAAAATTCTAATGAGCCAATTTATGAGCCAGAATTTATTAGTAGATAGATATTGGTAAGCAAAAATCGCTGAAAATCGAAAATTTTCAATACTATAACTCTATGAACTTTTCCAATTTTGATTTCATGACGCAATTTTTGAAACCAGCACGAAAAATGCTTTAAAACGAGCCTAAACTCGACTAGATTCGCTCAAATTTGAGTTTTGACCTACCGAACCGCGACGCGACCGCAACGCGTTAGTCAAAACTCAAATTTGAGCTCGATTAGTCGTGTTTAGGCTCATTTCGAAGCTCTTCACAAGCCGAGGAAGAATATATAAGTTTGATTTTGAAGTTTTGAAAAATCATCGAAATATGAGCTACTTTAGATTTTTTCTGAAAAGCTGACATTGCTCATTAATTGCTTATTTTTTGGATTTTTGCAATAAATCTTATATTTTCTTATTCCGCTCACCGAAAGCTTCAAAACGAGCCTAAACACGACTAGTTTCCCTCGAAGATGGGTCCAACCACGAAAACTACAGTAACCCGAAAATTGCTCAGAATCTAGTCGTGTTTAGGCTCATTTTGAAGCTCTAAACGAGCCGAAGAAGCTGAAAATTGAATTTCTGAATAAAATTTGGCTTGAGAATGGAAAAATTGCTAAAAATCCAAAAAAATGAATTTTATCAGTTCCAGACTAAATTTCGCTTGAAAATTGCGATTTTCAGCTTAAAAAACCCCGAAAATTTCACTGAAATCCCCAAATTTGTTTCAGCAAGACTTCCTCGGCTACACACGCGACGAAAATGGCACAGAACATGTGAATAAAATGACAGAATCATGGCTGAAACCACCGTATAAGATGCAATTGAACATTTGGATGTACAATGTCACAAATGTGAATGGAATATTGAAACGACACGAAAAAACGAATTTAAACGAGATTGGACCCTTTGTTTTTAAGTTAGTGGAGAGAAATTGGCTGGAAATGGCTGGAAATGACCTAAAATAGCTGAAAAATCATGAAAAATGACCCTAAAATCATTGAAAATAACCCAAAATACAGTAATCCCGGAAAGAATTTAAAGTCGCATCCTTATTACACGCACTGTATGTGTTGCGGTCGCGTCGCGGTTTAGTGGATCAAAATTCAATGTTAAGCAAATCTAGTCGTGTTTGGGCTCATTTTGAAGCTTGTAACGAGCCGAGCACAAATATATTAATCCAAATTTTTTCAGCGAAGTCCAGGAGAAAATCTATCATAAATGGGCGGAAAATGATACTCGAGTACTGTACAAAAACAGGAAATTGTATTTTTTCAATCGGAATTTGTCATGCCCCAGCTGTGATTTGTCCCAAAAAGTCACAATTCCAAATGTGGTTTTTCAAAAATTGGTCGACGCGGCGGATACGACGATTTTCGGAATTCGAATCAAGTTTGCCATTGAAAATGTGCTGAAATTTGTGCCAGAAGCACCATTCATTACGGTAAGAGTGTTACAGTAATCCCAGGCTTGAAAAGAGCTTCAAAATGAGCCCAAACACGACTAGTCTAGCACAATTTTGAGTTTTGACCTACGCGTTGCGGTCGCGTCGCGGTCAAAATTAAAAGTTGAGCGAATCTAGTCGAGTTTGAGCTCAATTCAAAGCATTTTTTGCGCTGAATCCAAATATCACATTACTTTCTATCGTACTCCTACAGTAATCCCAAAAAATCCCAATTTTTTTCAGGTTAAAGTCAGCGACGCGTTGTTCGATGGATACGAGGACCCAATTGTGGATTTGGTGTGCAAAAATAAGATTTTGAGTTTCCTATGCGAGACAAATACTCTTCAGAAGAGAATTGGATTCTTTTATGGGGTAAGAATGGCTGACATTTGGCTGAAAATGGCCTAAACTACAGTAACCTTGAAATTAGGAAAATCAAACCTGGACACTCTTTCTCAGCTCATCAAGTGCTTCAAAATGAACCTAAACACGACTATTCTAGCTCAATTTATAGTTTTGACCTACCAGCCGCGACGCGACCGCAACGCGTAGGTCAAAACACAAAATTGTGCTATACTAGTCATGTTTAGGCTCATTTGAAAACTCTTTGCGAGACAAAAAAGAAAAAAAAAACTTAAAAATCGAAGTTTTGAAAACTAATCGAGTTACGAGCAATTTAGAGTTTTCCCTGAAAATCTGAAAGTGCTCATAACTCGCTTATTTTTCAAAAATTCCCGAAAAACCTCCCATCTTCTTATCCCGCTCGTCAAGTGCGTCAAAATGAGCCCAAGCACGACTATTCTAGCTCAATTTTGAATTTTGATCTACCTAACCGCGACGCGACCGCAACGCGTAGGTCAAAACTCAAAATTATGCTAGACAAGTCGTGTTTGAGCTCATTTTGAAGCTCTCGACTAGCCGAAAAAGAATGTTAATGGTAAAAATCGGAATTTTAGGGAAATAGCGAGTTATGAGCGATTCTCAGCCAAAATTCTTTTTTCAGCAAAACGGAACAACAGACGGTACCTACGAAGTGGATACCGGAAGACCATCTCCAATGAATATCGGTCATTTATACACGTGGAATAATCTAACAATAATGCCAGAAGGGACATGGGATACTGTAGCGGCGAGGATGATCAATGGAACCGATGGACAGCTATTCAGTCCGATTTTGAGAAGAGAAAATCGATTATCGATTTTTGTTCCACAAATCTGTAGATCGATTCAAATGGAATATCAGAAGGATGTCGCTGTGTCAGGGGTGCCTTCATGGCGTTTTGTACCCCCACTGGACCTTTACGACCCAAGAAGACCCGAAAATCAAGGATTCTGCAATAAGAATGGTGTTCCGAGATATTTTGAGAACACAACTGTGCAGATTGGTGGGTTTTTTTGGGAGCCTAAATTGCTCATAACTCGCTGATATTGCAAAATTTCGATTCGAAATCTTTATATTCCTGCTCAGCTCGTCGTGAGCTTCAAAATGAGCCCAAACACAACTAGTCTAGCTTAATTTTGAGTTTTGATCTACAAAACCGCGACGCGACCGCAACGCATGGGTCAAATTTTAAAATCGGACTAGAATAGTCGTGTTTAGGCTCATTTCAAAGCTCTTAACTAGCTGAGCAATTATCTGAAGGTTTGAATTTCAAAAAATAAGCGAGACGTGAGCAATTAAAGAATGTTGAAATCTTGAATTGCTCATATATCGCTTATTTACAAAACTTCTCGATCTAAAACCGCTATATTCCTGCTCAGCTCGTCGTGAGCTTCAAAATGAGCCCAAACACGACCGGTTTAGCACAATTTTGAGTTTTTGACATACGCGTCGCGGTTTGGTAGATCGAAATTCAAAATATAGCTAGACTAGTCGTGTTTGGGCTCATTTTAAAGCATTTTTCGCTCTGATACCAAAAATTATAGCTTCAAGTCAGATTTCCAGAAATGTTTCGCCAAAACGTGATGAAAAAATTCCAGAAAACTGTCTCCCTGCGGGCCTAATCGATCTATCCCGGTGTCAAGCCGGCTCGCCACGTGTCTACCTCTCAAATCCGCACTTTTATAATTCTCCAATAGAATTATGGCACGCAGTGACTGGGTTATCAGTCCCATCAGCCAATAATGATTTGACTACGGTAGATTTGGAGCCAACGGCTGGAGTACCGACTCAGGCGAAGCGAATCATGCAAATTAATGTTGGCATGGTTAAAGGATCGCTAAGGTGAGCGATTTTAGCCTTTGTTGTGCCAAAAACCTGCAGTTTCAGATTTTCTGAAATTCTTAAATTGCTCATATTTCTCTCATTTTTCAAAATTTCAGAATTAAACCGTCATAGCATTGCTCAGCTCGTTTAGAGCTTTGAAATGAGCCTAAACATGACTAGTTTTGGCACATTTTTCGGGTTACTGTAGTTTTCGTAGTGGGACCCAAAATGTGCCGAAACTAGTCATGTTTAGGCTCGTTTTGAAGCTCTCAACGAGCTGAAAAAGAATAAAAAGGGTTGATTATGAGATTTTGAAAAATTAGAGAGTTATGATCAATTTCAGATGTTTAGAAATCCTAAAATTGCATTTTTTAGCTCAAAATTCATCGTTTTTAATGGAATTTTCTGGATTTTTTTCAGCATAACCGAGAACACGACGAATGTAATTGTCCCGGTACTTTGGATGAACGAAACCGCGGATTTTGATCAAGGAACTCGTGATCAGTTGATCCAAATCTTCAATGCTAAGCATTATTCGTTCATTGGCGGTGTTGTATCGTTATCACTTGGCCTTATCGCCTGGATGGCCGTTTTTATGGTCATTTTTGTTTATTCGGTGAGTTTTATAGCTGTTTTTAGAGGATATTTTTAGCTTAAAACGGACAATTTTTGACCTAAAACTTGAAATTGCTAAAAAGTTTTTAAAAAACTACCATTTTGGGACCTAAAAACAGTTTTACAGCTTTAAACTCCATTTTTCAAGGTGGTGTACGGTGAAATTTTTGTATTGCATCAAAATGTGCAGAAATGCATGTAGATTGACATAAAAATAAAGAAAAAATTCAAAAAAAAATTCCTTCATCGAGAAAAACGCATCGAAAAATACGCTGAAAGCCCTTAGGGACGAGCTTTTTTCTAGGCCGCCCGGTGAGTAAAAGCGCGCGAATTCAAATTTTTAAAATTTTTTCGCTCGTTTTCACTTTTTTTCAAATTTTCCGATGTATCTGGAAGAAAAATTGACAAAAACCTA